ATATTTTCTACAAGATGTATGCTGTCAATCTCGCACAGAAAGCCAAGGAATTGAAAAGGGAGAAGCGTAAAAGTGATTCTCTACTGTTCCAAATGCTCCCACCCAGTGTTGCCATGCAGCTAAAACAAACACAACAGGTAAAACTATCCTTCTGACAGAAGAACACAAAAGAAGAAAGTATGGTAGTCATAAATAATATATATCGTAGTATATAAGTTGTTGGTAAATCGAACTGATCCTGGCGCTGAAAGAAAGACTTTGACATTTGAGAAACAATAATCATATTTTATAAAATAATTGTTATTAATATTGAAGCAAAACTTGATGAAAGCAGATTTTGTGATATTTTAATATTTAAGAGAATAATGTTTTTGCCATTCGTAAGAAACCTAAAGCTAAACTGGAGATCCAAGAGAAAAACTACAAAAAAATCAATTAGTTATGTTAAATCAAGTTAAGCTAAGTTAATTAATCTGATATGTCATAATTTATAGTCAATTCCTTATTAAACACATAATTTTATTCTTCCATTGCTATTTTACTCCGCTCTCAGGTACCCGCTGAAATGTATGAAGCTGTAACCGTTTACTTCAGTGATATCGTCGGTTTCACAGAGATAGCTGCAAGATGTACACCTTTGGAGGTCAGTGGTAACTCATTCTATGATTTTAGTTTTTATGAGGGTTATTCAAAGCGGGTGAGTTTTCTCTCGGCAAAAGAGTTCCTTCAAAGTGGTCTCGTGACGACGATACAGCCGAGTACTTTTATGTAAGTGTGTGTATTTTCTTCATAGATCAGAGATAAAAACTCTGGTCGAAACAAAACTAAAAATGATGGAACTATTGCTGAACTTTAATTCTAAGGTGAACATTTTATTAAAAGAGCCACCCGGTTTTCTAGTACAGCGCAGATCCTAATCGGCTTTTAGTACTTAAATTTTTTTATTTTTTTTAGTCATAATGATACTTTCATATTTCGCCACCCCATAAGATTTTAATAGCTATAATTCTAAGATTTGATCAGATAAATTGAAATGACTGTCTAAGGCACAACAAATACTTAGTACCGTTTTAGATAAAATTGGATAAAATAATAAAAATAATAGTTGTTGTTGTTGTAACAGTTATTTAGTTCACGTTGTAATGGAAAAGTTCAGATAAGTTGCCATCGAGGTCACCCAACAGGGTTGATCCATAGGCAGTGGAGTGTCTGTTGTCAAGGGTTAGCTGGACAAGCGAAAAAGTGGTCAGTATGATGCGGGTACTCGTTGCTGATGAATTTCACTCTGTACGCTGGACATATATATGATATGTCGCGGTGGATTCTGGATAACTAGGAGTTTAAATCGCTACAGTATCCAGAACGAAGCTGAGCAAGGGTCCCACTCACAAAGGCAACTCGAGTTTGTCATCTTCAATTGATGGTGGTTTGATTCCAGGTACCCCATACACTGAGAGGAAGTCGGTGAAAGTGTTTGAAAGTCTGGTCGTCATATTGTTTTGTGTCGTCGACGTAATTGTGGAAGGACTTCTTGATGTTTCTTGGATAATATTTTCCTAGGATTTTTAGCTCGACTCTCGTGAAAAGAAATTTTCATATTTTCTGATGGCTTTCCTTGGAATATATTATTACTACCTAATTAAAACCTTAAGGTAATGCTCAAACGGAAAATGGAATCTCCGAAATAATTATATAGTTTCAAGCTATCGATGATAGGTTAGCAGCAGATCTACTGCTTCGAGGTGCAGCCTCCTTCAGAGAAGTGACTATTCACTCATATAGTAGAGCGACGATACTAGCCTTGAACTCATTAACATCATCAAGCATCAAGTGTCTTTGTAATAAGACTGGTATGGTGTAATAGTGCAATCGCAATTTCTTGCTGATAAGCTAGCAAGGAAAGGCTCCTAGAATCGCTATCGGTAGAATGGGAACGGCTTAATGCCTCCTAAATAGATGGCTGGACTTCACGGAAACTGTGCCAACGCTGGGCCACCATCGGTACATGTAGTGATCTTACATCTAGTGATCTTTTTGCCCCCAATAAGGCTAGCCTCTCCCCAGTTGTGGGTCTTTTAACAGTCCATTCCCATATTGGAGACCATGCTGTAAGATTGTTAATCCTACCAGACGCCATCTGCAGAAGCTGTGTGGAAAAGGATGGGGTGAAAACAACTCAACACTCAATTAATAGCATTGAATTAAAAAAATGGTTGATAGACAACTCTCAGATAGGCCCTTTATTTAATTCGAACTAACCCCACTTTTTCGATCTAACCGAATACATTTATTTATACAAATATAATTTCAAATATATCTACATATATACCTATTTATTATATAGCCAAATTAAAATATTTTAGGTCGTCACCTTTCTGAACTCAATTTATCGTGTTTTTGATGATCGCATTGAATGTTATGATGTTTACAAAGTGGAGACAATAGGCGACTCCTATATGGTAGCATCAGGACTGCCAGTAAAAAATGGTACGTAAATGGTATAAACATATTGGCATATGTATTTAGATAGTATAAATTGTAGCAGCGGCAAGCATAACTTTCAGGAGTTTATAAAAAAATAACAGTAGCATAATTTTAGCTTACAACAACATATTATGTATACATATACAGTTAATTTACATTCAAATTCAGTTCAAAGGTACCAACTATCATATGCTCACATAAAGTGGTAATTTGTACATATGTGCGAATAATGAACTTGTTGGAAAAATTGTCACTTTCTGTCGTTGGCAAATTATTATGCACTCAGCAACACCCTTTTTTCTTTTTTCTTCTTGATTTTTTCTTGTTTCTCGTTTCGTCAACACTTCACGTTTGCCCTGACAACCAACTATAATCTCCGCATCCGGCTCGCTGTCACCACCAATGGCGGACCACACATACACCTTTGTTTATATATACACACACATACATACATATATGTGAGGTGTGCAGGCGAAAAGCATGTTTCGGAAATTGCCACAATGGCGCTTGATTTACTAGACGCATCGTCTTTTTTCAAAATTCCGCGGTCAACGGGGACATTGCAAATACGCTGTGGCATCCACACTGGTCCGGTGGTCGCTGGTATTGTCGGCACGAAAATGCCGCGCTACTGCCTATTTGGTGACACGGTCAACACAGCGTCACGCATGGAGTCTACCGGTGAGGCTCACAAAATTCACATCACGGATGAAATGAACGAGGCACTGCACAGGATTGGTGGCTTTCGCACAGAACACCGCGGACTCATTGATGTAAAGGTAAGTAAATTACATTTTCTCCATTAGAATCTGAAGGACTAGGAACAAAAACACATATATACATATGTAATCGTAAATTAGGATGTCCCTCCCTACAATAATATCTATTTTCAGAAAAATAGTGGTTTCCACCAATTCGAGGAAACTTCATTTCATTTTATGTTGTTGTGAGATGCATATTTCTGCATATATATTATAAAATATATTCTATATGACGTTCCTTGAAAGCAAGGCCATTATGAATGGGTCTTAACATCAAAGTCTATTCGGATGGAATAGTCAAGCTAAACTTTATTTCGAAAATAATTTGAGTAATGTGATGTAGTGTATACAACAACAACAAGACTGTCGCCACATTTCAAATCTGCAAACTAAAAATTGTTTATCACAAGGTTCATATATTCGACATTCTACTTCGTCGCATTAAAATTGAAAAATATTTTATCATTCACAGGTACTATAGAGAAAAGGGGAAAAATTGCCAAACGTTTAATAGATAGTCTCTGTTTCTGTTAAAAATTATGATTCTGTTATGAATGCTGTAAAAATGCTAGTGTTCATTAAAATCCTTGAAAAGCATCTGACAACTCGTTTAAGTCTTGCATTAAATGTAAATGTTTCTCTTTAAAAATATCTTTCTGTTATTGGTTTTCTGTTTTGAAAGCGGTTTTAATTCTCATTGGATTCCCTTAAAGGAAGTAAATGGCAATACCCTACCGTACCAGAAGTAGATTTAGATTACTGATATTAGCAATAATTATTTTTAATATACATAAAGTCGTTTAATTATAAATAACATTAGTAATATACTGTTTATTTAATTTTAGGGCAAAGGCCTCATGAGCACTTACTGGCTGACTTGCAAAGATGGTCCGGTGAAGGCTCGTTGTGAAGAAATTTCCTGGTTCACTGACATGCAACCAGTTTTTATGGAAAAACTGAAGTCAGAACCTTTCTTAAAAAACGATAGCAAGCGAAAATAATGTCACGTTGTGTAGTTTTATTCTACTACTAAGCATGATTGAATGTACAATTACATATTTATAATCTCCATAAATAAAATAGGGCATACTTTGTTCGATAAAAAATATAATTTCATGATAAATATACTTTTATATGGGAAAATAAGTCAATGTGCGTAAGTACATATTATGTGCTATGTATGTATGTATCTCAAAAATAACTTTTCATAAACATTGCACTAAAGCGGATCTTTCTCATTTAAGTTTCCTCCAGCGGTACATCCGCCGGTAAAGTGGTGATGAGGTAAAGCTGTTCTTATCAGTATTTGCTCGGCAATTTATTTATATTTATGAATAAATACTTACATATACTCATGCTTATATTGGTCTTCCGGCACTGTGCTTGATAGGTGTTTCCTTCGGTTGAAAAAATATTGATGCAGTGCTTTTATATACTCCAGGCGGTGTATTCCGTATTATTTCTTGTATAATATTCCTTTTTCTACCAACTGGAGTGTTAAAAGTTCTCTCACTTATGGAAATTTTCCTTAACGTATTATTTATTTTATTTAGTATCAGTAAAACCTATAAGATCGTATTAAATTCCAATTTGAACTAACTTATATCCAATGATTTCTTAATATGGCCATATTGTACTAAAATGAACTGTGGACAAGGCACGAAACAAAAAGCTGAATTCTGTGAAATTCACAGTAATGTATAAATGAACTTGCATTGTATTGAAAAGATTTATTTCGAAATTAAGAGAGTTTTGCCAATTCGCTGCCAATTAAAACTATTTGCGGTGCCGAACATATAAAATTGTGCAAGTCTATTGACTTTTCACTTAATTTAACTGCATTAAAGTAAAATATATGGATAAATTTGAAATCATATAACAGTTAAATTCCTCAGCTTCAATCAAAAAATCTCTAAATTACTACCAACATTTGGTACACTGCGATATTTGGCAAAACTTATGTCCTTGAAATTAAACTAAAGCAAGTGAAGTTGGCGAAATGTAATGAAGGTTTGGACTTGTGCATTCATTTATGTGTTGTTTTGTCCAAAATAAAAGTAATTTACCTTTCCTTATATTGCTGCACATAAGTGAACTTAAATACCTGAATGTGTTGAAAAAGAGAAATCGGTAATTTTTCGTGTGTGCAATAAAATTGTATCGTAATTTTCAACTATATGTATCCTAAATCCAATGAGTTTCAGTTTTTAAAACTTGCAACGTTATAATATTGGTATCTATCATCAATAGAATTGTATAATACAATTTATTTAAAAGAAATCTAATTTTCCACAAATACGCCACCTGAGCTTACATACATATATCGGTGTTTGCACATATGTACTTACATAAGTATTAGGGTTAACATTCAGTGGAATTATACCGTATAATTGAAAAACACGTTAATTGCATCCTCAGCCCTTTGCTGCAACAAAATGGCAAAAAATGTGATATGTCGCCCGCGTATAGTGATTGATTATATTGATAACGGGGCCAGTTCTCCGAATGTAAATAATAAATATATTAACCGCATATTTCGTTTCTTTCGCGTTTAATATGCCAAAATACAATACTCTAATTGGTTTGCTTTAAAATTCAAAAGTGGCAGCTCTGAGATTTTCTCTGAGTATTTGGTTGTGGGAAAAGAGAAATTTTATGTTGTATTCAGTGGCGGCTTTTGAACCTGAATATTCTACTGAGCCTGAATAACTGCTCTATTCATACATTCACAAATTAATGGGAGGCGAACATTACGTGAGTGTGTGATTAGTTGATTTGATCTATTAAATATAAAATAATTTTCTAAAGATTATCAAATAATTGAAGTGAATCGTTTTTTTTTATAAAAGTGTACTGTGTATTTATTGTTTCATATGAATATTCAGACTCAAGTTTGTGTTCAATAAGTTAAACTTAAACAATGAACGCGAAGAGTGGAATCGCAAACACACACATTCAGAATTAATTAAGACGAAAAGTGAAAAATAACCACATATCGGTACATACATAGTTATGCGAATTAAATGTAAATTGAAATTGGAATAAATTGTGGTACTCGGATTCGCAAATAATATTGAAATGTAAGCTTTATATTAGTACGTAAAATAAGAAAGTTTTTTATTTTCATTTGAGACACATAGTTAAATAGAATATGTAGAGTTTAATATCAATCGTGTGTGTACATACATACATACATATATTTGTATGTATATGTGCATATTATGTTTAATTTTAATGTGAGAGCTACCTCAAATCGGTAAAAATTTGGGTTTGAATTATTGTTTGGAAAAAATTCTTATACAATAACTGTATACATATGTGCCGAAGTACGAAAAATTTGTGACAAAAGGGCGTCAAAAAATAAAGTGCTAGTTCAGAGAATAAAAGCTCCTATTGTCTCTCTATTGAAGAGAATAAAAGTTCCGAAATTTGCAAAAAAAAGGTTGGAAACTTCACAACTATATTATTCGAAAAATTAAATGCAAATAACATACAAACATATGTATATACATATATTATAAAGTGTAAATTGAATGTGTGCACGAGTATTCGGAAATTTTTATTGTATTTCAATTTATTTAATTAAGAATAATAAGAGACGAATATTTCCCAAAGTTTTAGTGTTTTTATATTCACTTTTCAACCTTCAATCGAACTATCGACGATTTACCTTAATATACATCGATAAATAAAATTTATATTTTAATTGCTAAAAGATATTCAGTTATGAAATATAGCTCCAAAAATTATTTTGTCGTTCCTATTTAATGATTTTTCTACAATACACTATCAAAGTCAAATTGAGCATCTAGTCAGGCTATGCATAATCTACGGTATCGAGGAAGAGTTACTGTTCATAACCCGCATTTTTATCCAGCCAAAGATCGACAACTCGGCGTCATTCCTCGAAAATGCTTCAGAAATGTTTTCTGCCGCTATAGTTAAAGCAAAGCCAAATTTAAAAGAATTACGTAAAAAGCCGGTGACGGAATACGCGAGCTTAAAATATGTGTTAAGAGCATTCATACATATAGTATAGGATCCTCAACTCGGATAAATATTGTTATATTGTTGGGAAATAAATACTATTAAATGAAAATGTATTAGGTTAAAATAATTTTTATCGAATAGGATATACAACAATTAAATATTTTCAAATAACGTTAAATTGTCGATAATTATAAGATGCCCACACAGCAAATTAGTGTAAATTTTATTTTAATGTGTTTAAATAAATTTTTTTCTATTTCAGAATAAAAATGAATAAATTGGTCACTGGGCCAAGGCCCAACTCAGTTAAAATTCAATGGTTTTGCAATGATTTTTTGTCCGAGTTAAATTATACCTCGAAATATTTGAAATATTGTCAATACATTTATGTGGATGAGGGAACGTTGCATTGTGGGAACCCGCAGCAAGCAACCACCCTCACTTCTTGGACTGCATGGAATCAATGAGACGCAGTGAGGTGAACGTTAGCCACCACCCCAATAAGGTAAATATGGGTTTTAAAATAATTAGTTCTGATTTTATTAACTAATGATTCACAAAGTTAAGATATTAGCGAAATGTATGAATTTATTCGGAGCAAAATAATTTTCCGTATACTGTGTTATTTATTGAACTTTTAAATTGTTTGTTAAGTATTTTTATTTATTTATTATTATTATTATTATTTTTTTTTTTTGATTATTTAAACATATGCATTTTAAATACCTAAACGAATGATTAAACTTAGTAAATTGTTGCAACTCTGTGCATTGTTTTCGTGCTCTTGCATTCTAATGTCATTCTGACATGAATAGGGAACACAAATATAACGAGCAAACACTCTTTCAACAGAGAACATCTCTGGTTTGATGGCGCAGGCAGATTGTATCGAAAGAAATACGGGAGTGAATATTATTAATTGGTTGATATAGAATTTTAATTGAATATATACATAGTGTAATTAAGAAAACTCTTTGATATATGCATTTGTGTTAAATGCGACGAAGAAAAAAACCGGCATTGGCCGGATTTTAAAGTGGGAAAAAATTTAAAAGCTGAAATCTATAAAAGTGAATAGAAGAAGCGTCGCAGTAGCAAAAACGAAAAGAAGTGAAAGCAGAGAAGCGTGTGTTTGCGCAGCAGAAGCAGTGATGACTAGATACTATTCAGGTATCGATACATTAAATTGAAAATTATATTTATTAGGTTGTTTTGGCAAATGCAAAAATTTCAATTTTTTATGAAACTTTTGAAATATGAATACTTTCATATACAATTTCTCTAAGCAAATGATGGTTTTGTAAAGCGGTTTCGGTAAGGATATTTAAACCAAAATTCGAACAATGGTTTCGCGAGAACAAGTATATTTGCTACTTCGCTGCTTCGGTCGGCGTAACATTGGCATTCATTCGCTTTCGTGCGTTCATCTTGGGCCACTTACGTTCGGCTCGTTTGTAAATGCGAGTTTTTGTTGTTGAAATTTCTATATGCGTATTTATGTGAATAGTGTTATCGACATCCCCTTGCATCGTTGCGCCGGTTTTTGAGCGTCCCTTGGGCTTTTTTTTAACATTTATCGGTTGTTCGTTGTGTGCGCCTGGCACCGATGCGAGCCTTGATGTATAGAATTTATGAGTACTCGTTTATGAAAAGATTTCTACATATCATACCTAACTCTACTCATATATATGTTTATATAAAAGTGTGTGTGTGTTTTTACTTCAGATAGACAACTATACATATTGGCTATAGATTTATATATAATAAAAAACTTAATTAATATATTGTCTATGTTACTATTTATTAGTAATTCTTTGATATTGATAAAAATTATTATATGTAAGTATTCGGTTAAAACGAAAATGTTAACGTGATAAATGAACGAAAAACAAAATATATGAGTTGTTTATTAATTAAAATAAACATGAAAAAAAAACTAAGATATTACAAATGTTTATGTTAAGTGCACAATTACAAAATGTCTTAGATACATACATATATACATACATTTCATTGAGTTTCATATCGGTTATGGGGTTGTGGTGTGTATGACCCAAAAATTAGAGCCAAACTTGCTCACACACAATATTTGATTCCTCAATGTAATAATATATGAAAAATGTAATAGTAAAATATTTACATTTTAATAATAGTTCCTTTAGTCCTGATGTCAAAAATAAAAATTCATAGTAAGGAATATAGATTTGCCATAATGGCATCATTTTGATAACTACAAATCTTTAGTATATAAAAAACGCAAATTCAGAAATAAGGAAAATATTAAAATACGCAATATTAATAGCTAAAAAAGAAACTGCATTCCTTGACGAAGTATGCTCATATAATTTTTGTTCCTAAAATCAAAAAAAAAAAATCTTATATACATACATATATCATATTATTCTTAGTTTAATATTTCCAATATCTAATAAATCCAATTTTTTTTATAAGGTGGCCACTAATAAAAGCATAGTTACGGATAGTAATAAACACAAGTTGGTAGGAAGCACAAGTAATACTTTGGTTTCACCTGCCTCAGATTTAAATAAAAAATTGTCATCATCTTCGCACAAGCATCATTACCAAAATTATACAAAACACAACTCAAATAAAAAGGTGGCAAGTTCAAGTAAGTACTAACAAATAATAATAAAAACCAAATTTCTTTGCTTTTACAATTATTATTTTATAAATAAATAGAATGAGTATTGTGTTTCAAATACTTTGCAATTATTTCAAAATATCCTCTAATAATTGATGTATTTATAATCACCAGAACATTTTGGACAATCGAAATCGCATTCAACACAGTCTAGTGGAGGTGTTAGCGTAAGCAATAGAAGGGCTAGTTTCCCAAAACCATCTGGGAAAGGAGTTATTGTAAATGCAGTAGCTAGGAATAGCCCTGTAGTACAAGAAGCAAATTGTCCGACATCGTCAATTTCCAGCGAATCAAAGGATACAAATTTTGAGTACGAAGACGAATGGGATATTGGTGGAATACCTGAGTTGCTGGATGATCTAGATGCTGATATTGAAAAATCGTCGACGGCAGCACAAAATTTAACAAAAACTTACAGTTCTGGTGGCGGCATCAATGAGCTTGGAATAATATCATCCAATATAAAATCGACATCAAAGTCGTCCTCAGTAAATAAAGCTAGTTTAAAATCAGAAAAAGGCAAATATGCAAACTTGCCATTGTCAAAGTCGTTGAATACAACAATAACAGCATCGTCAAATGCGACTACTACGAATTTTCCAGTTAAAAGTTCTAAAAGAGTTGCAAGTCCCAACAACTACAGCACAAACCCAAGTAAACGTTCAGACGTAGCCCTTAGCAAGAACAGTAATAGTTCCCAACCATTAAAGAATTTCGAAAGCAAGTATCAACAATCACGCGAACATATAAATTACAAAAGTCAACAGTCCACCTTTGATGAGCAAAAGGCGGATGGTGGCTTTAGCAAAAAATTTGGTTCTATTGCGACTAAATCATTACAATCGTCTTCCTCATATCCATTATCGTCTTCTGTATCTCTTCACGCCACACCTGCTACCTGCACAAGTGAGGGTAGCCAAAAGACTAATACATTAGCTGTATCGACCTTTGCTGGATTTTCGAAAGGCGGTAATCTTGTGTCGTCATATAAAAATTCCCAAATACCCAAAAATTTAGTTGGCGGTTCTTCGCTTCTACTTTCGGCATTAAAAAACGATTCACTATCGAATTCATCAAATCATTCTGCAAGCGGCATGTCATCGCAATCCAGTGGAAGCAGCAGTAATAACAGTAGTGCGGGCGGTGGATCTGGCGGTGGTCAAGGTGGAGCCCAAGGCATTGGCGGTTCCGGTAGTGGTAAATCGAACTCTAAAATGTCCATTGATCATCAAGCGACACTTGACAAGGGACTTAAAATGAAAATAAAACGTACCAAGCCGGGAACCAAAACGTCAGAAGCCAAGCATGAAATTGTCAAAGCCACAGAACAACAACAACAAAATGGTTCCTTAGGTGTCAACAATCCAGGTAACTTGGATGATAATAACAGCGTCAATACTAGTTCGCATTCCTCATCTTCATCAGGTGGTGGTAGTAGCTCAAGCGGTTCATCGCAAAGTGCAGGTAGTGGCAGCGGTTCGGGATCAAATTTAACCAATATAAGCGGCAGCAATAAAAAGCATCTAAGTAATATTTCCAGTAGTAATAGTAGTAGTCAAGGCAATAGCCACAACAGTATGAACAGTAATAATTCGGTCTCTGGTGGTGGTTCCACCGGTTCCGGTAGCAGCGGTCAGGGTACTCCTCAAAGCAACAAGCGTGGTAGTTCAGGTCACCGGCGGGAAAAAGCTAAAGAGAAAACCACACATTCCAATCGTTTAATAGCGGATAAAAACGTTTCCACTTCGGCTGAAAAAGATGGTCTCACCAATGTCAATGACAAAGGCATCGCATGTCATTGCAATATTGACACCACAAATGGAGCTGCGACTAGTGCATGCACCAACCACGCGTGTTCACGCCGCTCAGAAAGTGCTAATAGTTCATCAATTAGCGTTTTGTCCCAACGTATGGGCAACAATGCAGCCAATAGCAATGTTAATAGTGGTTCTGTGCCACCAGGCGTATTTACACCATCAGTGGGCTCAGCCGCTGGTGTAGTAACTGCTGCTGCAGCTACAGCGGCCACACTACTAGCAGCCACATCGGCTGCCCCAACTACTACTCCTCAATCAATGGGTAGTAATAGTACACCAAATGCACCCGGCCCACCGGGTAAGGATGCAACAAATTGTGGCAACATTAAAATTTCCTCACACATTGCTGCGCAATTAGCTGCAGCAGCAGCTTCTACCACCTTTAGTAATAGTGCAACAAATTCGTCTGCGAACAATCTGAGCGGAAATAATGAGAGTAAGTCAAGCACTTCAATTGTTCCTGTTGCGCAAGCAAAACTTATGGCTCCCGGTATGATCTCAGCGACTGTGCATCACACTATTTCAGTTCCCGCCAATTCCTCTTCCAGTACAACAACACAATCGTCCAGCAATAGCGGTCCAAACAGTAGCAATGCTGGAGATGATAGCATCAAGTCACCACCCGCCAAGCGGGCAAAACATGGTGACCCTTCCTCGAATGCAGCATCGAGTACTTTAGCCAAAGAAATGGTTGATATTTGTATTGGTACCTCAGTGGGAACTATAACGGAGCCAGATTGTTTGGGTCCCTGCGAGCCGGGAACTTCTGTAACGCTTGAGGGCATTGTTTGGCATGAGACAGAGGGCGGTGTGCTTGTGGTGAATGTTACATGGCGCGGCAAAACTTATGTTGGCACATTACTGGATTGCACACGTCATGATTGGGCACCACCCAGGTAAGTTGTGGAGTGTTTTACTGCGCGAAAATCTATATGTACCTTCTATTTGGTCTGTTTTATTAGACAGGTCGGCGACCTGAATTTACAATTAAATCAAGGTAGATCACCTTCTACAGTTTTTTCAAAATAATTTGCGATATTTTTGTCCCTCTTGCAACAACAACAAATAAATATACATAATACAAAAGTTAGTTGAGACAATTGCTTTGTTATACTATTTGTCATTTATGGCATCATGTGTGGGGAAATTCCAATTTATGCATAGTGACAACTTACCTTAGTACCTACAAATTTTATTCAAATCATTCAAACAACTGCCAAGGACACTTAACCGTTTGTTATTTACGTTAAACTAGAAATAAAACTGTTAAAGCGGGACAAATGGCTAGGTTACAGTTTTTATCGCCTAACAAAAAGTCTTGGCACAATTATTGGTAAAATAGCTACCATTATATATGAAGATTTATTAAAAAAGTTAAAATGTTTTATTTAGTATAATGTCGACCATTTTAAATTTATATTAAAAATTTTAGTGTTTCTTAATGGCAATTTATGTATAAGTTTATGCAATAAATATGTCATTGGTAAAGTAATTACGTAAATTGGGTTGTTCGATTGTAATCTTTGGCTTGAACGGTAAAATATATAAAAGGTCTATGACTTTTTTTTATTTTTATTACAAGCTAAATATAAAAAAAATATATATTTTTTTAATTTTTACAATAAATATATTAAAAAAGTTATATGTTAAATTTTTCTTTAAAACATCTTTTAATTAAAAATATGTAAATATTATAATTAATACGTGGTGGTTGATGGCAACGCTACCTACTTTTATTCCTTCATCAGCTGATAATCGTTAATATTTAAACTTAGTTATTTTTTATTAAAGCGAAATATAGAATGATCAATTCAGAAAAATTTAATATTTAACTATTTTAAGATTTAAAATTAGCTTGAACTTAATTAAATTTCAATTTGAATAAAAACCAGTGCTACTATTAACTGATACTGAGGTGAAGGATTGTTCTTTAATCTGAATCCGAAAGTAATTTTTGAGCAACTTTAAAGCGTATTGTTATTGCTGTTGAAGTATCCTCAAACAATCTGAAGCTAATTTGCAAGTTTCTTTCTCATCTCAGACGCTTAGCCAGATACAAATCCAAGTCTGTTCCCATTATATAGAGCCGATAGTTTGGAAACAGTCAAATAATACCCACTTTTTCTTAAATAAAATTCCCAAACAGTTAAAATTTTTAATCGCAATATCATGAACAACGACTGAACACTAAAAAATTGTATAATAAGCTTATTTATCAAATGGAATGTTTAATTCTTAGATTCTGTGATTCACCAACCGAGGAATTGGACTCCCGAACACCCAAAGGTCGTGGAAAACGAGGACGAAGTGCAGCGCTAACACCAGATTTGAGTAATTTCACCGAAACAAGAAGCTCGGTAAGCACTCGACTTCAAATTCTATTTGTCACCTCTAATGGAATTTTAATATCTTTTATAGATATATTTTTCACATGCGCAGGTGCATTCGAAGTTGCGCAATGGTACAACGAAGGGTGGTCGTGGTGCATCACGTACTTCAATTAGTGCAACCAGCACATCAAATACCACAACGACAACAAGTAGCTCTTCGTCGGGGAATGGTGGTGGAGCCACGCCGAGCACATCGCCAACAGCATTCTTACCTCCACGTTCTGAGAAGAGAAAATCGAAAGATGACTCACCGTCGCCCATTAATGGCGATACCGAGTGTACTGCAAATGTAGCAAACGCCAGCGGTATACCGATATCGGCGAGTGGAGGTGGTCTTGCTACGCAGCCTCAAAGTCTTGTTAATCCTGTGACTGGCCTTAATGTACAAATAAGCACGAAAAAATGTAAGACTGCCTCACCGTGCGCCATATCGCCGGTGTTACTAGAGTGCCCCGAGCAGGATTGCAGTAAAAAATATAAGCACGCCAACGGGCTGCGCTATCATCAATCTCATGCACATGGAAGCTCATGTTCCATAGACGAAGATTCTTTACAATTGCCCGATGAGCCACCCACACCGACCTCTTCACCGGTGCCGTCGGCACAAAACAACAGAGCTACAACGCCAACTCCTGCAGAAAGCTCGACATTGGCAACTGGTGCAATGGCGATAACTTCACCGGTAACACCGCCAATTAATGCACCAACTACTTCTGAAGCACCAACGCAACCAGCTGCAATTTTGCCGCCATCGACGCAACCCACAGTTACCGATAGTGTCGGGGATCCAGAACCTGTGATTGGTGCTGCCACCACGCCCACACCCGGCACACAAACTATTTCTGTTGCGTCGCTGACTGCATCCACTCCATTGTCTACTGCGCCATCTAGTTTATTGAGTGCGTCTCTTGGCGGTGGTGGCAGTGCCGGTGTTGGTGGCGTTTTAGCAGCCTCCACCGCACAAGCTCTTATGCCACAAACACAACCACAGCAACCACATCCTGTTGCCGGCGGCAGCATAACAACGGGCATTTCGGGGCAAGTTCTTTGTCAGCAACAACAACAGCAAACACTTGGAATGCCAAATGCTGGCAATCCGCCAGCATTGCTTTCCGAAACATCTCCGGCTTCGGCACTTGCACAGCAGGGTGGACGTGAGTTTTTCAGTATTTCAACAAAACTCGAACAATTATTATACTTACTCATTTATTTCCGTTTTACAGTGAAACCGGGTGTATTGAGATTTGGTCCCCAAAGCGATGCGCCCAATGCGGGTGCCCCACCGTCAATATTAGCATTACAACAACAGGCAACACAAGGAGTAAACCCGCAGCAGAGTGCTATATCGGGACAGAGTCCTCAACGGGCACCACCGCCACAATTATCAGCGAATTTGGAAAGTGTACAACAACACCCATCGGCAATAAGTACTTATACCAGCTCGCCGGTGTCCAGTGGACAAAATTTACAAGGTGATATTTCTTTAAGAGCTTTTTTTTATTTATGGAGCTAATGAAATAATTTTCAATTGAAGGCATTTCATTAACCACAAAAGGCTCGTCTGGCTTTGCAGCGGTGAAGCAAAAGAAATGTCGAAAGTCGCCCGGACCTGTAGAGTACGACGGTGTTGTAACAAGGGATAATGTGCAGAGTCCTGCCTACAGTGACATTTCGGATGATTCCACACCAGTGGGCGAACAGGATATTTTAGGTAACTATATTTGTTGTGAATTTTATGGTCTAAAGTTTTATAACGTTATTCTTATATTCACCCACACAGATAAGTCACAACCTAAGCTTATAGACTTACCAAACAAGAAACCAACTGATTTGGGTTCTGTGGGCTTGGGTAGTGGTGCGCCGGGTATACCACCCTTAGGCGGCTATGGCATGTATCAGTTTTATCAGCAACAGCAATATTTGGTGCCTCCCACTTCTTCCGATCAGCAATCGTCACAGGCGGCCAATAAGGGCTTGTTGCCCTCCGCTCTGGTACAGCCAACGTTAACGCTTCCACCGTCACAGCAACAACAGCAAGGTGCAATACAGTCCTCCCATTTAATGCAGCAGCAGCAGCAACAGTCACATCAACAACAACAGCAATCGCCACATTTGTCCGACTACAGTAACAAAAGTAAAGATCCGCCACTAGATTTAATGACGAAGTCATCGCAACAGCAGCAGCAGCAACAACAGCAACAAGCTGTTAGTCTTCAGCAACAATTGCAATCGCAAGATGTCAGTGGTAATCAAAAAGATAACCCAACAGGCCAACCACCACAGTCTTCGGTGAATTTAAGCAATATCGGTCCGCCTAATAATGGCTTACCACCAGGTATGGGCTCAATGTCATCGTTGGGGCCATCAGGTGTGGGACCGGGCGGGTTGCCAGCACCTACACCCGCTAAATCCTTATCACATTTTTACCCCTTCAAGTAAGGCTGCACCTTCCAACCGCATTAAAAAGGGATTTAATTATTGCTTTACTTTCTAGTTACATGGCTGCCGGTTATCCTTATAATGTAGAACCCAATTATGGACCTGTATCGATTGTATCTTCACAAGATGATCCAGTAAAATTGAGCGCCCACGGTGGTTTACCCACGTCGCAGTCGCAAAGCAATGCACCTCCACATCCAAATTCCGGTGTCATTAAGGATGAACGCCTCAAGGAAAGTCCTAGTCCGCATGAAATATCCAAGCCAACACCTCAGCAGCAACAAGTAAGTTCATAACAACAATTACATTGACAAAGATTTCATATACATAGGTATATGCTTAATGAGACGAGTCCCCAACTGTAGTAGATCACATTTACTTCACCGTAAAGAAACCTCCATTTAAAGTATCCGTCTTTCTGACTCCTATATCAGCGGCTCGATCTAAGGTCTATTGAGGTTTCGCCTCTGTTATATAGACTAACATAGGCCCAGCACTCTGAAAAATTCTACTATCCTGCTATGTGCTACAATCCCTTGGCCTTGGTTTTGCGTCTACAGACCGCTGGGTACTCTAGAATCGGGTCCTCCGCAGTTTCCACGAAAACAGTTTTTAAAGTCAATTTCCGGAATAACCTTCAAATCGCGGAGCAATTCACGTTTAATGTCTTCAAGTCACTCAAAACGGTTTCCCCGGGGCAGTCGTTTGAGTTTGCTGAATAGCCAGTAGGCACGTGGAGTTAAATCAGGCGAATACAGTGGTTGCGGCACCATATTGGTTGAAAATTTGGCGAAAAACTCACGAAAAATCAATGCAGTAGGCGACGGTGTTTTCTTGTGGTGTAAAAACAAAGAGTCGTTGGTCCTTAATTCCATCCTTTTTTTATGAATAGTTTCACGCATAACACTCAAATAGTTTTCCTTTTTGATAGTTTTGCCCGTCGGAAAGAATTCGTACTGCACCACACCTCGATAATCGAAAGAAAACTGTCAATATAACCTTGATTTTTTGGCGTGGCTTTTCGGCTTCGGCTTACTTTTGCCACGGTTGTTAGTATAGATCCTGGACTCATCGCCAGTAATAATACATATCATGACATCCTGGCAGTCGAAAAGCATTGCTTCACAGATGTTAACACGACTCTGTTTCGAGCAAATTGAGTGATTTTGGAACCAATCGTGTTTTATTTTTTCTTAGGTCCAAATGATTAGTCTCTTATCATTCCAATATTCCAACGATGTCAGTAAGACCTCTGATTGTTAATCGTCGATTCTCAAGCACTAATTCCTTTATTTTATTGACTTGTTGATCATCAGGTGATGTTGATGGCCGTCGTCAACGAGTTCTCGAATTTCTTTGTTCAATAATTTCGCTTACCGTAAAACCCGCCGAAATCACTTTATGTACTTCGTATAGTACACTAAGCACTAATGATTATTTTCATGTGGCATTTCGAACAAATGTCACTGACTGTCATGCCAACCTAGAAAATAATATTGCGACAAAAGGGTTCTCTTTAATATTGCAAAATCCGATTTATGGAAACAAAATGGAAGTAAGTGAGTCAAAAAGCAGGTCTATATGAATATTGAATAAATTATTGTTACTTGTTCTGTTGTTGTATTATAAACAACTTTATTTTTCTTCGCTAAATTGGAAATAGTCATATGTCTGACTGGTTTTATTTTCTATTGATATGCTTATGAAGATGACTTTTGTGAGTGACGTACATCAATTCCTCTGAATCAACTCTTCATACAGCTATGTAAATCGCTCTATAATAACGGTCTATTAAATCAATTAATTGCGATTGTGAGTCGACTATATTTCTATATATACTGAAAACTAATTTGCATCTCAATTGGCTACTCAGTTCCAAGAGTCACTTGTTGGCGTTTATAGTTTTCCAAAGTAGACACCTAACATTTATAACACCCATGAGTGAGTTCGCCATAAGCTCATTTACCCTGTTCTTTATCCAATTGAATACTCCAGACATTTTACAAGAATTAAAAAAAATTCGGGTCTGCTGAAAATAGTTAATTTTATCTAAAATTCAGCAAAAATAAAATTAATGACAAAGCCGAAAAAATATACGCACTCAAGATCAAATTTTCCTTCGTGTGCAAACTGATGCGATATTTTTTTTCCTAGATGGATACAATATTTTTTTTATAGTCGCGTGAAGTATGACAATTTTTATGTTTTAGCAGCTTTTGTTTACTACGAATCGAAATAGTCTTTTTTTTTACCATAAGCAACGGGTATCCTTGAAATACGTGTTTTCAATGGAATCAATCTCCAGATTTGGTTCCCAGTGTCTTTTTACTGTTTTCGAAAAAGAAAAATTTGCTTTCATTTACCCAATAGTTTTTTAAACGACTACCTATGAATATGTTAGAGATATCGCTAATTATACCCGGTCACGTCAGTAACAAATTTATTTAGAGAATGATTTATACAGTAACAACAATAAAAGCAAAATAATGTCTCCTGCAAGGTGCGTTCCAAAGGAGCTCTTGGCGCCATCTATATGTTAGAATCTGCTATCGTTATTGATTGTCCAGTGAGATTTTGTGACATTTCATCGTTTGGAAGTGAAGTTATTGTGTTTGCTCTCGATGCGAAAATGAGCTTCGAACAAAGAGCCAACATTAAATTTTGTTTTAAAATTGGTAAAACTTTTACCGAAACGTTTCAATTGATGAAATCCCGTAGCAGAGTGCACGAGTGCTTTCGACGTTTTCAAAGTGGTCGTGAGCACATAAATGACGATCAACATGTGGGCCAATCAAAGTGCGTGGTCACCGAAAATTCCATAGAAAATGTGCGTGAATTCATCAAAAATCAGCCAATATCATCATTGAAATTCATGGAAATGGAATTGAACATCTCCAAAACATCGATTTATTGCATTTTGACCGAACATCTAGGCTTACGAAAGGTGTATGCACGGTTTGTTCCGCACAAATTAACTGACGACCAATAGTTGCTCAGAATCCAACATTCGAAGAACGATTATTTGACCTAAAATCACATTTTAACCAATAACCGTATTCACCTGATAATGCACCGTGCGACTTTTTTCCTTTTTGGAAAAATCCATTTGCCCATGAAAGGAAAGCGTTATGCAAACGTTGAAGCCATTCAAAAGGCTTGCACCGGCATACTGGCGGCCGTACAGGCCAACGAGCTAAAACACTATTTCGACATGCTTTTGGACCGTGCAAACAGCTGTGTTGAAGCAGAAGGAAACTTTTTTGAACAAAATAAATTGATTTTGCCAAAAAAACCATTTGTCCTGTTTTTTTTTTAAGTCGTATTTACTTTGGAACGCACCTTGTATAACCGTTTTATTAAAATAAAAAATAATATTTAAAACTTCAAAATAGAAAACGCAAAGCCAAGAACTAAGACAACCATTCGAGTCAGCTGTAAATGCTATGGCCAAATGTGAAAATTTCTCAACTAATGTAATAGGCTTAATGGGAGTCTTCCAAAAAAAAGGCCTATTTGAAATATTTTTTTTTATAAAACAATCGAAATATTTTATTCAAACTTTTTATTATTCAAAAAATACATATTTAGAATTTGGCCATTACTCGCCATTCCCTCGAAAAAAATCCGCGTTGATAGCAAAACTTCTTACGGGATCATCCGAAATAAAAAGAAGAGAAACCCAAAAAGTGAAATTTGTATTTAGTACACGGAAATTGTAAATATTGTTATTTTGTCGCTTTCAAAGTTATTCCCACCAGAGGTAATACACTTATGCCAACGATTTTTGCAGTGCTCGGAAACACTTTTCATAAGCACTTTTGGGGATGGTCTTGAGTTTCTTCAGCGAATTTTGTTTTATCCCTTCGACCGACTGAAAACGGTCATAATACTCTCCATGAATGTGGGATCGGAATTCGCAGGATTAAGCATGTCCAAAAAGACCTGTTTACAGTACTCTTTTTCAAAAAAATTCAGCTTTATCGGGACGAGTCGAGCTACAGGCTCAAATAATTTTTTTTTTTCTGTGTATGGAATTCATTTTTCTTTTATTCATGTTATTCATTCAATTTTATTAAATATAGCTTAATTAGTTTTAAAAATAATGGAATTTAAATCTTCATCCTCCGTCTTCAAAAAAATAGAGTAAAATATTTATTTTTAAGCCGTAAATAGAAAATAGCTAAATCACAGTTGGGTCTAAGGACGGACGCGGTCTTGTATCCGGCCAAGACATGTTACCCCGATAACATTCCTAGAAATTACTTCAGGGATGTTTTCTCCCCCACAACAAAACTTGCGACCATTTGAACCTTTCGAGTAAATACCTTTTCCGAAGAAGCTTTAGCTTATCTCTATTCTATCGTAGACGCGCACCTGAGTTTTTCTTAGGGTTTCGAAAACTATTTTAATAAACCCATCTTAATAATAAATTATTTTACCAATTAAAATATATTTTGTTCGATTATTCATAACAACTTTGGCTAAAACAAACAATTATCACATTTTATTTTAGTTGGTTTCGACGAAACACATCAAAAGCGAGCCAATGACAAAGCAGGAGATAAAGCAAGAGCACAATCCGCCTCCTCAGTCTCAACAACAGCAGCAACAACCGCCACCGCAGCAGCAACAACAGCCGCAACAACCACATGCACTACATCCGAAAGATTTGCAAAACTTGGGTACATATCCGAATATATATCAGCGTCATCCAATGACCTTGGCCGCACAGCAGCACTTGTCACGTGAGGAGGAATTTAGGAGGTAAATTAATCGAAAATTCGCAAAATGTAACATCATATATTAATTATCCATGTACCCCGTCGCCTTCAGGTACTATATACTCTCGGACGAGCAACAACGCCGCCAAAATACAGTCGCAGCTCTACGAGCGCAAAATCCCTCCAACAGCGGACCGCATGGCTCGCTGCAAGCACAAGTGATGGGACAGCATAAGGACGACACAGGCCCATCAGCACAGCACCAACAGCAGATGGCAATGGCACAGCAGCAGCAGCAACAACAACAACAACAACAGCAGCAACAACATCAGTCGCAAAAAAGTAAATCACAAAGTTGCTCTAGCAGTAGCGGCGGCAATTCCGGCAGTGGTAAAGCAACAAATCTCACCAAGGAGAGCTCCAAGCAAAAGCAACAAGAAGAAGAAGTCAAAGTTAAACAGGAGGGACAGAAACCCACTATGGAGACACAAGGACCACCGCCGCCACCAACATCACAATACTTCCTGCATCCATCGTATATAGCGCCAGCACCGTTCAGCTTCGATCCCAACCATCCGATGTATCGTAATGTCTTGATGTCTGCCGCCGGCCCTTACAATGCGGCGCCGTATCATTTACCCATGCCGAGATATCATGCGCCTGAGGATCTGTCACGCAATACCGGCACAAAGGCACTCGACGCGCTACACCACGCCGCCAGCCAGTATTACACTACGCACAAAATACACGAGCTGAGTGAGCGTGCACTGAAATCACCGACGAGCGGCGGTGGTGGTGGTGGTGGCAGTGGTGGTCCGGGTGGCGCGGTCAAAGTCAGCGTATCTAGTCCGAATGTGGGTATGCAGCAGCAGGGTGTTGGTGGCGGTGGCGTAACTGGGCCGGGCAGTGGTCCGAATACGGTACAAAATGCACCCAATAGCGGCAGTCATTTGCCACCAACAAATCAGACGTCTGTGGGTGGCGGTATGCCATTAAATCTGCAACCGCCACCGACGGGCATGGGTGGCCCGCCAAATAAGTCTGATGTGCTGGGCCAAAAGGTGTTGAGCGGTGGACCAGGCGGTCCGGGTGGCAGCTTGGCGGGCGGACCGCTAAATATCGATGCACACAAGCAACAGGGTGGTCCCAGCGGGCCAAACAGTGGCGGCGGTATTAGCGGTGCTCCTGCCGGTGGTAATAACAACCCGGCAGATTCACGTAGTCCGCCGCCACAACGACATGTGCACACACACCACCACACCCATGTGGGGTTGGGTTACCCCATGTACACGGCACCCTATGGTGGTAAGTTCAATTAAAATAACATATCCGGTTATATATTGTTTGTTTAATGCTTTCAATTCTTATTTTCGTCGTTTAGCTGCAGTATTGGCAAGTCAGCAAGCTGCTGCCGTAGCTGTGATAAATCCTTTTCCTCCCGGACCAAACAAATGAGAAACACAGAACGAAAAGAATCCATATAATATGAAGACATAATGCATTTGTCTTGCTAAACAAATATCCGCATTTATTGGCAAACACGTTGGCAATTATGGATTCGTGATATTGCGTGCGTTGTGAAGCAAAAAACTTAAAACAGTTACAAATCAATCAAAATTGTATAAGGTCTAACTACTAACGAGTAATGAGTGCGGATTGGAGTATATGAAACGTATATGGATTAATGGTTTAAAACCCAAAACAGGCGAAAACATGTGAGGACTAACGTAAAGGAATACTTATGTATTTTAAGCATTTAAAGAAACCAGAAAATCAATAATTTTGACATTTATTTGTTTAATATTTTATTGAATCTGACTAATTACTTACTGACTAACAGCTTACAACTAGGCAGTAATGTTTATATAGCAGTACAAGGGGATGCCCAGCCGACAATTAGCTATAGAGCGTTAGAGAAAACAGGGAGGGCGTGAGATAGTGCGTGCGTAAGCAATGTGGTGCACATGAATGGGAGAATAATTCGTTAACTAATTTGAAAAAAAGAGTTTTAGAAATTAATAAGTTACATTACCAACTTTAATTGTAATACGCTGCACTAAACTATTTAATTATAACGCAAAAAAACACAAAAAAAAAAAAGCAAAAACACACTATTATAGAAAAGTTAAAAATAAATGGTTAGATTTATTACAGATAAGGTAGTATATGTATGTGCGATAAATCAATGTAACCGAGAACTTGATAACTAGAATTTAGTGAAACCACACAAATATAATATATAGCAATATATACTATATATAAAACAGTAGTTTTCTAAAGCAATGCACGCGAACAATACCATTTGTAGTTAAATTATTTCACATTGTAGCTTAAGCCAGCTGATAAAAGAACTGTTGGAAAAAAGCAGTAAACAAAAAAACAAACACAAAAACAAAAATTATAATAATCAAAATACAGTTCAAGCAGTAATGTAACACACTCGCATTTGTAAAAATTTATTATTTAAAAATGACAACAAAAATACATATAACAAAGCGACTTTATTTTTAAGCAAAATTTTTGAACAAAGTTACATTAAAAAAAAAAAATAACGTAAACATTTTGTATTAATTTTATTTAATTGTTTCTTATTTTTTTTTTGTGTCGCTTTGCACTCATTGTACGTATGTGTATGTGTGTGATGCATACAGCAATAATGCATTTTCATTTTCGAACACACGCCCCGTATAAAAATTTAAAAATAAAATAAAAAAGGTTCGATGCCAGTTAACAACATCCAAGCAGGGCATAGATAATTGGTGCAACAACAAAAAATGCTATATGGGCAACAGGATTGTGTATGTGCGTGACTCGTTTTATGACTTAAAGGTCGTTTTATACGTGATTTTTTTTATAGTTAAACTTTTCCTAATTAAATCAGTGTGCAAAAACTTCGTTTTTGTTCGGCAAAACTGTATTTTAATGCCAGCTACCACCCACACGCATGCACACACACATATTTCTTTTACATTTGAGCGTTTGTATATGTTTATCAAAGGATTTCCAATGCAAATTTTCGCTTAGCGATCGTAACGTCTTCAATTAAATGCGACCCCTCAATAAAAAGTAAAATTGCAANTTTTTTTTTTTTTTTTTTTTTGGTTTTTGAAGAAGAAAGCATCAATCAATGGATTTATTGAGAGAACACTTCAGTGACTAGCTGAAATCATGTTTTGGACCGGTCAATTGGCCACAAAGATCGTGTGAAAACATATCGTTTGACGTTTTCCTATGGGGGTATCTAAAGAGTCTAAAGTTTATTCGGACAATCCCACTTCCATTCAGGCCTTGGAGTGAAACATCATGCGTGTTATTCGCCAGTTATCAGCCATTTTTTTTTTTTAATTTTGTTTTGGACATAAATTAAAACTGCAAATATCGTTTGCAAACAACAATAAACTTGGGAAAGAGCGGTCACCCTAATACATGCATAAATAAGCACTCACATTGGCGTGCCTTGACCTACAGAAAAATGCAAATCTTTTGTTCACCACACGCTCTTACGTTAATGCTCTGCACATACATACATATGTATAAAATATAAATCTATATAAACGGACGTGCGTATGAGTAAGCATGTATGTGTGCTGCTATTTGTGCATACGTGCCATTGTGGTTTATTTTTGGTAATGCCTTTGCCTTTAGTTATTTGGTTAACTACTTTATGTGTTACCTTATCATTTTGAATGCACTGCAGTACAGTTATTTTCTAATATTTTTTCACATTTACACACATGTATATATGTCAGCAAAGCCACATAGTGTTGTATGCTCTTTATACTTACATAAAATACAACTTCATAAAATATTGCACAATAATTTTGCTTACCTGGAAGTAAATGAAGATAGACTTTAGTATATGGCTAATAAAATATTTATTTCAATTTAAATATTATTAATAGCGGTCCGTACAAATAGTAATTACTGCGGCGCACTTGTTATACAGTAGATGTTCAAATATCATTGAAAATGCTTACTTATCAGCTAAGCCGAAATACTATTAAAAATAAATACCTATTTTCAAACATACATACATATGTATGTATGCACAAAAACATACTCAAACTTATCCACATACACATATATTTAGATATTTAATATAAATTTCTTAAATAGTATATAAGCAATGAAAATATCAAATAAAAATTAGAGTGATTATACTCTCACTCAAACAAAGATCCCTAGTTTTCCCCCACCAGCGGTAAAAACTTAGGTACATAAGATCCTTTTTTACTTTTGGTGAAAGTGGAGATTTAATATCTAATGAAAGACATATGGGCTGGTGTACCACAGAGCAGTGTTTTAGGCCCAACTCTATACATCATATATTCAGCAGATCCTCCAACAACTAGCTACGTATTAACTTCCACTTTTGCGGATGACACAGCTATGAGCCGTAACAACTGCCATATTTTAGCATCAAGAATATTAGCGGAGTATTTAATTTCTGTCGAAGAATGGCTAGCCAACTGGCTTATAAAAGTGAATAAACAAAGTTTAAGCATGCTACGTTTTCGCTAAGACCAAAAATGTGGCCGGCAGTAAAAAATATTTTAGTACCCCAAGCTAATGAAGTAACCTATCTTGATATTCACCTAGACAGAATAATTACGTGGAGAAAACATATATCTACTAAAATAACTTACATGCAGATAAGATCCTGCAAATTTAAATTGCCTTCAAAATAAAACTCAAAACTTAGCGTAGACAATACTTAGTGCAATAGTGCTTTTATATAATGCGATCATAAAGCCGATTTGGATGTATGGCATTCAACTGTGGGGTACGACTTGTGCAACTAATATTGATATAATACAAAGGTTCTAATCGAAAATGCTTCGAATAGTTACGTGTTCACCACGGTACATGCGCAACGAAAATATCCATAAAGACCTTGGTATTCCTATGGTAAAGAATGACGTAGCAGACAGCAGAATTATATATATATCTAAACTCCGAGATCACCCAAATCCTTTGGTTAATGCGTTGGTACATTCCTGCAATCAAGCACGCCTTAAAAAAAGAGATATGCCGGCGTACTAAAGAGCAACGTATCACCAAAACAGCTCAATCACTTGCTTGAGCCTGTCTAGTTTTTAAACAGATTTATGATTTTATAACTGTTAGACTTTAGAAAAAAAAGAGCAGATTCAATAAATAAAATGATATTAGGAAAAAAAAAAGATTTTACTGATACGAATTTCTATGCTGCCAAAAAGTTATATAACGTTAAGTAAGTATATCTCCCAGAGGTTGTATCCTAGGAAAAAGTGCATTAGTTGAATAACGTTGGGAATATTATTGTGCTTGTTGTAGAAGTTCACGGGTAATAATATACAGGCTGCCTTCGTAATCAATTAAGGGGTTCATGCGTTTAGGGATTTCAAAAATGTACTTTTTTTATTATCTTATTATATTATATAACACCTCTAAAATATTTTCCTAAATTACCAAGTTGATCCGAGTAATAATTTCGGAGACACAACCTTCAGAACTTGAAATCGGTAGGCAAGATTTCTCGAGAACTACTCAATCGATCATCATGAAATTGTACACAAGTCTTTCAGATACAATTTTTAAAGACCTTAAAGGTAGGATTTTTCCAATTATAAAATATTTGAAAAAAACAAATTTCCAAAATTTACACCCAAATAAAATTTTTTTTTCTTTTTTGGAATTGGCGTCGCAGTTGCCGAGTTCAAAATATTTGTAACAATAAAAAACTCTAGTAAACATTTAATTTTTTCTATGAGAAAAGAAAGGTGAAAAAATTTTGGTGCTTTAGAAGGAGTTTATTGAAAATAAATCGCCATGTATCAACTTTCATAAAAGATTAGTTTGGATCAAATCCTTGATAAAAGATAAAGTAAAGAGATTCTTTAAAACTTGTGGTGCCCCAGACTTAATATTGCCGCACTCCTCACTAAGATCCCGAAGTTGACCAGACATTTCTACTTGACTCAACCATTCTAGATATTGGCTAGAACTTTTGGCGGAAGGATCAAAGTTTAGCGATTTTTACCGGGTTTTCCAATAGGGGTGATATGGTTTTTAAGTTTGTTTTCGGAAAAGATTATTTTATTTTTTATATTTTATTTTAATTGTTTTTTTTTTTTTTTTTTTTTTTTTTTTTTTTTTTTTTTTTTTTGATTTTAGTGTTAGAGGCTGTTTACTGTTAATTTTCGGTTGCTAAACCTAAACAAAGAGTAAAAATTTTTAACACATGATATTTTTGTGTTGTAGTCATGGGATAGTAGGGGTTAAACAACCACCATTTACGAAAATGACAAAAATATATGTACGTGATGGAAAATTTTTGAACTCAAGATCATAATCAGGACACCTCAAATACCCCACATATCTCTTAACACTTCAGTCGCAAATTTTTGTTCAGATTTGTTGAGTGGCGATATTTAATTTTTTTTTTGTTAATTAAATTAAATTATTTTGAACTTTTATTTTTTTTTTGATAGGTTTTTCGTTTGATTATTTTTTACGAATCGTATTTTAATTTTTTGTAAAAATTTTTTTGTTTTGTAACAATTTCTTTTAATTTTTTCTAATAATTAGTTAACTTACTGTTTAATAACTTTTAAGTATATTTTTATTTTTATTTACGTATTTATTTTTTTTAATGTTTTTTTATAGATTTCGAACAAGTTTTTTTAATATTTATATTTTCTGTATTTTTGATATTCTGTATACCTTTGGTTAGCATCGCTTTCATATATCATGTTAAATAGTTTATCTGTTCTAAATGTGTAGGATCCATATATATAATTTTTCTTTTTCGTATTTACTGTAATTGAATTTAATCTTTGTAAGCCCTTATACCAATGCTTATAAATGTATGTAAAAATATAATTACTCGGTAAGAATACATTCTACAATTCAGATATATATCTAACTCGATTTGTGTAGTGAATAAATGTTAAGATTACAAATTACTTATATACATACAAGTATATACATACATACAATATATGTATATTGGACGTAAATTATGCGCATATGAATGTATTACCTAACTATTTATATTAATAAGTTATTGACAAAGAAGCAAGTAGCGATCACATTTATGTGAAGAGCATAGATTTAGACACTTATGTAATACCCTAAGATTCATTATACACGTTAATCCAAGCAGAATGGCAAAGTGTGCTAGAGATGTAATGCTTAAACCGCTACAGTAATATATATATATATATAGTATACATATATATATATAGAAGTATAGTTTTGAAAAGTAAAAAGAAAAAATATTATATAAAGAAAAAACGACAAAAAACAAAATGAATACAAAATCGCAAAAGATTATTGAAGTTATTTATTTAACAAAGAAAACAAATCCATACTTCTATCACAGTTCATTGACAAGTAAATGAATATTGATATGAAATAAGTAACACTATATATTAAAGTAAAACAAACAACAAAAAATATAT